AGAGAGAGAGAGAGAGAGAGAGAGAGAGAGAGAGAGAGAGAGAGAGAGAGAGACTTACGATGTTTTATTGGCGTTGAGACTGTGGGCGAAATGATGTAAAACAATAGATAAGTGACACAACACTCGTATGCCATCCAAAGGGTTCCCATTACTAGACGTATGACTTGTGTTAACGCGAATCGATTGTCGATAGTTTGAGACCAAAGACAACGCGTGTAACACATGGTTTTGCTCAACACATGCGCTGCCATTGGACTCACGGCTCGCGTTCAACCGATCGGTGTATATGTGTTGACACGTGCTGTATATGACCAGCAATAACCAGATAGTTATTATAGCCACAAATACATATAAGTCAATCATGGTGATTGTATCTTATTATCAAATCAATTACGTAATTACACATTAATACATCGAATACATTAAATTTATGATTTAAACAATTTAACTTTATAATTCATCATATTAAATAAAAATGACATGAAAAGAAAAATATTGTACGATTTATATTATATCATGTCATATCCGCGTTTAATTAACTATCATGCTATTTCATCATAAAAGGTATTATTTATTGTAACTATCGATATCTATTGTAATTATGTGTTTCCTATGAGAAGTGAAAGTCATTGTTAAAATAGTCGTTCCGTCAAATTAATTATATTTGTGTGTGTGTGAGAAAGAAAGAAAGAGAGAGAGAGAGAGAGAGAGAGAGAGAGAAACATAACTGCGTTTTTGGGTTTATTTGAAAAGCAAAAGTTATTACTAAAAATTATAAGTAAAATCTGCAAAGAGAGAGAGAGAGAGAGAGAGAGAGAGAATTTATATACAGATAATTTTATTTACATCCTAAAAGGTATTTTGTTTACGTTAGATATAAATGTTTTCAATATTATATAAATATTGACTAAAACATAAAGTGTTGACGAGATATGAATTACTGATAACATAAAATAAATTAATAGTCGCTAACATTGTTTTAATTGTAATTAAAATATAATATTTTGTAAAAATGTAACATAATGTTATAATAATATAAAAGCAATAATACAAATTCGGTAACTGTAAAATATTGTGTTAAATATAATTGTTATAGTCGTTGATATCGGTATATAATACATATAATTTACATGGAATTCAATTTATTTATGAAATAAATATTTATTTTAAAACAATTTTTCACAATTAATGAGAGCGTCGTTATAAAGTATAAGGATTTCGATAATAGTGTTATCGACAGCAATTTGTTTTTAAAAAAGTTAACACATTTGTGTTTTATTCAGTTTCTTGTTTATTCAAACTTAAAGTTAAAGATTAAGTTAAATTGACTTTAATTATTTTTTAAGATATGGACAACTCTGGCATTACTTCAAACACTCTTCAAGTACTGTAATATTCAAGCATTTATTTTGATATACGTAAATTGTCCAGGTTATATTTTGTAATAAATTTGATTGGTTTTTATTTGCCAATAACAACATTAAAATCACCATTTTTATTATTTATTAGTTTAATTACATTTATTTTTAAAACTATAATTTTTAAATGTATGTAGTGTAGTACATAATAATAAATAGTCATTAATATTTAATTATTACTACAATATTATAAAGTGTTTATAAATTATAACTTATGTCTATGAATAATATGTGATTTTAATTCCTTTTTCGTAACAAACCGTTGATTACAGTTATTATGAATACATTTATGGTTTTTTATATTCAAATGTCGATTCATATGTTCTTTTAGATGAGATTTCTGGTAAAAATCTTTATTACAATTATTAAAATGACAAACAAATGGTTTCTCTCCCGAATGTATGCGTTTGTGTTGAATTAGATATGATTTATGCTTAAATTTTTTGCCACAATTTTCTTCATTACATTTAAATTTCCTTTCATTCAAATGAACACAACTTTTGTGTATAAATAAACTATTTTTTGATTTAAAACTTTTGTGGCATTCATTGAAATCACAAATAAATTTCACATTTAAATGAATGATATTTTTATGTCGAATTAAATTACAATATTGTGCGAATACTTTATGACAATTATTAAAATCACATTTAAATTGTTTTATGACTGAAAGAATGAATTGATGGTTTCTTAATTCACATTTCGTTGATGTCTTGTATTGACATTTAGGCCAAAAGCAGTGCAAATAATCATCAGATTTAGTGATGATATGACAATTGTTTAGCATTTTATCACTGATTTTACATGAATTGCAATCAATTGTTTGATTGATTGAAAAATAATCATTATTTTCGCATTCAATCGCTTCACACAAAACACTATTATTTGTATTCAAAATACACTGAATTTTGTCTATTATTTCACACAAACTCTNACTAATGCACCATCCAGTATGCTAGTAGATTATAAATTATAAAAATGTTAAAGTTTAAAATTAATATTTGAATTAATAACAATCAACGAAACACTCATTAATTTTGAACACATTTTCAAGCAAATCAACAAAAAATAATAAATTAATACTAAAATTATAAAATATACACACAATGAGTTCAATGATACAAACGTTTGAAAAGTATATTCAATGTGTTGTAGTTTTGTTTAATTTCCACGTGTTTTCAAAACTGCATTTTCATGACAACCAAAACCTGTTCCCAGATATCAATCATAAGATCTCATGACATCTCAAACAACAATACAATATATTTATTAATTTTAATTACAATTAATTATAAAATTATTTATTTCTAAAACACAAAACCTAAACATTTAAAAATACAAATATATTTATATCTATTTATTTAAATAGTTGTTTTTTAAGTTAACCATAAGTATAAATCTGATTAAAAACTCTGTATTGATCATTAAATGCAGAATACAATTGATTGTTATTAATTCAAATATTAATTTTAAACTTTAACATTTTTATAATTTATAATCTACTAGCATACTGGATGGTGCATTAGTTATGAAAATTATATATCATATACTAATACAAAAATAATATTGATTTTATTTCTATTCTACAAGTTTATAAATAATATTACAAGTTATGTGGTGCAAAAGTTATAAACACTTTGTAAACATTTTCCTGATTAACAATCATATTGTGTAAAGTATATGATACGGTATATACATTACATTAAGAATATTTGAGTATGTTGGTAATAGGGTTTGAAAATAATTATTTTAGTTAATTATTAAACTATTTAGTGCAATTAGGGCAAATTGCTACCTTACTCAATATTTAAATACTTCAAATATTAAGTGGATGATTAAAACTATAGTACCAATCAGGCACTAATTGATATAAAAGCATAGTATATAAGCAAGTAGATAGTACTGAAATCTAAATATTAAATCTAATTATTTACTAAGAACTTAATTATTATATTTAATAATTAAAAATGTTTAATAAACTTGTATTTTATTCGTTACTTATTATTGGAGTTTGCATTGAATACAGCGCTGGTATTGATGTAAAGACAACATCGGGTGTAGTGAGGGGTCAGACGATAGATGTGTTGAACGTAAGTATTGACCAGTTTTTGGGTATACCTTATGCCGAACCACCCGTCGGGAGACTCCGGTTCGCCAAACCTGNAAGTATTGACCAGTTTTTGGGTATACCTTATGCCGAACCACCCGTCGGGAGACTCCGGTTCGCCAAACCTGAACCCATCAAAACACCCAATAAGGTAAAATAGCACAAAATATATCATAATTTTTATTTACATATTATTTTATTGTATATTATTTTTAGGGTATTATTGATGCGACAAAACCCAAGTACTCTTGCATTCAAAATGCTTACCCACTGTTTCCAAATCTAACCCAAAGTGAAGACTGTTTGGTACTAAACATATGGACACCAAATGCGGGAAATAATAACACAAACAAATCACAGCTCAAACCCATTATGTTTAACATACACGGAGGGGGTCTGAGTATTGGCTCATCATTTACTTTTCCCGGAGCCAATGGCAGTATTTTGGCCACACATGATGTGGTGTTTGCATCGACGAACTACCGGTTGGGACAGTTGGGCTTTCTATACGGGGATCGGGAGGACGCGCCCGGAAATGTCGGCTTTTATGACCAGTTATTGGCTCTCAAATGGGTATTAATTTATTAATTATTTTAGTTGTTATTGCTATTCATTAATGAAATAATATATGATTTTATTACATAACAATAGGTTAGAGAAAATGCTCATCAATTTGGCGGAGATAAGGATCAGATCACTATATTAGGCGGCAGTGCCGGGAGTTGGTCGGTGTCCGCACACATACTCTCCCCGCTATCCAAAGGCCTATTCAAGAGGGCTATTATGGAGA